TGAAAGATATATCAAATACAGGAAAAGTGCAGACATACTTTCTTTTCAGCTCCTAGAAAATTATGTACCATTTCCTTCTATCCTCCATGATTTATAAGAAATTAGCAATTTGAGTTGTCGTTACCTGATATTTAATGTTCCCACTGCCCTTTTTGTGCTGCTGCTATTTTTGCACAAACCAATTTGAGAATTTCAGATAATACTGTTTTCTGGAAAAATTTTGTTTATTTTTGGTATTTTTTTCTTTTTTTGTTTACCATGATCTTTTTCATATCATCAGGCTACCTTAAATGTCCACCAATTATTACATTTGTTTGTAATAATGAGATATCAAAGCTTTGAAGATTTTGGATACCTGATTGAAGCTTAATATCTGTAATATTTTATTTTATGGCGAGTAATTCTAAAACTGTGAGAAACATAAAACTATGCAGTAAACCACAGTAAACACTTCAAAATTTACTAAAAACAATGATACTCTCTCCCAGGGAGATAGTATGCAGCAGAAACAGTGTGATCACTACAGATTGAAAGGGAGATGTATTAGTCCATTTTCACGCTGCTGATAAAGACATTATGTCAGACTGGGCAATTTACAAAAGAAAGAGATTTGTTGGCCGGGCGCGGTGGCTCAAGCCTGTAATCCCAGCACTTTGGGAGGCCGAGACGGGCGGATCACGAGGTCAGGAGATCGAGACCATCCTGGCTAACACGGTGAAACTCCGTCTCTACTAAAAAATACAAAAAACTAGCCGGGCGAGGTGGCGGACGCCTGTAGTCCCAGCTACTCGGGAGGCTGAGGCAGGAGAATGGCGTAAACCCGGGAGGCGGAGCTTGCAGTGAGCTGAGATCCGGCCACTGCACTCCAGCCTGGGCGACAGAGCGAGACTCTGTCTCAAAAAATAAAATAAAATAAAATAAAAATAAAATAAAAATTAAAAAAAAAGAGATTTGTTGGACTTACAGTTTCCCATGGCTGGGGAGGCCTCTCAATCGTGGTGGAAGGTGAAAGGCACGTCTCATATGCAGGTGGCAAGAGAGAGAGTGAAAACCAAGGGAAATAAGTTTCCACTTATCAAACCATCATATGTCGTGAGACTTATTCACTACCACAAAAACAGTACAGGGAAAACCACCTCCATGATTCAGTTATCTCCCACTGGGTCCCTCCCACAACACGTGGGAATTATGGGAGTACAAGATGAGATTTGGATGGAGACAGAGAACCAAACTATATCAAGAGAGAAAAGAGCTCTAGAAAGAAAATCTCTAAAATTAAAAAGAAGATAAAAGAAAGAAAAGAAAAGAAAAGAAAAAAGAAAAACTTTGGAATAATTTAGAACTTGGGAAAACAACTTAAGTCCTCAGTGTTGTGTAAAGAGAAAAATATTCAAATTTGTCCCTAATAATGTTGTAATATGAGTTTTAGACATCCTCGAAGCAAATGACGGACAGAAAATAACATAATCCTAGCACAAGTTTTAGTCCTATGTATAACTGCGTGTATACACTCAAGATAATACAAATAACATTCAAGCAAAGATATTAAACATTAATTTATTGAATATTTATTATTTTCTATGGATTAGTTAGGTACAAAGCAAAATTCCAATAAACAAAAAGATCAAAATTTTACTGAAATTCTTATTCAAGTAGGAACAGACAAACAATAAACAAAATCAAAGGTAGATATTGGGAAAGGAGGGGCCAACACGAAAGCAATTTGGCAAACTGGAAGACTATAACAGTAATCCTGGCAAGAGAAAATGGCACACAAAGCAGGGTAAAGGCGGTAGTGGCAATGAGAAGCATTGGACCTGTAAATATATTTTGGTGGTGGAAGCAACAATATATGGTTGATGAATTAATTGTAAATGTTAAATAAAGGATCCAAAATAATGCCAAATAATTTGACCTAATTACTTGGAAGATGAGAGCTGTCATCAGATTAGATAGGGAGGACTGTGATCAAATTATTTCTGCACTGAAGATAAAAGCTTTGTTATTAAGTACATAAATGTTTAAGATTGTTATTGGTTCTTAGTGAATCAACCCCTTTACCATTTTGAAATGAGCCTTTTTAACCCCAGTAACTTTTTTATTCCGAAACCTACTGTCTCTGATATAAAATAACCACTGTGCTTTATTATTTTCTTATTTATTTATTTATTTATTTTGAGATGGAGTCTTGCTCTGTTACCCAGGCTGGAGTGCAGTGGCACAGTCTTGGCTCACTACAACCTCTGTCCCCCAAGTTCAAGAGATTTTCCCACCTCAGCCTCTTGAGTATCTGGGACTACAAGCACGCGCCATCACTCTAAACTAATTTTTGTATTTTTAATAGAAACAGGGTTTCACCATGTTGGCCAGACTGTACAGAACTCCTGTTCTCATGTGATCTGCCTGCCTCGGCCTCCCAAAGTGCTGTGATTACAGGTGTGACCCCCTGTGACAAGCCCCATTATTTTTATTTTTATTTATGTTTTTTTTTTTTTTTTTTTTTTTGAGATAGGAGTTTACTCTGTAACCCAGTCTGGCTGGATTGCAAACATGACTTACTGCAGCTGTGAACTCCTGGACTTAAGTGATCTTCCTGCCTCAGTCTCTCTAGTAGTCAGGACCACAGGTGCACACCACCATACTGGGTAATGTTTTTTAAATATTTTAGAGATCAGGTTTTGTCATTTTGCCCAGGCTGGTTTATTTTCATTAGTATTGGCAGAGTTTGTGTTATTCTATTCTTTTAATCTAGTTGTGTATTTATAAAGTATAACTTTTAATGTAGGTACTGTATATAACACCTTCACATTGAGAAGCAGAGAAATGGGATTATTGTTATCATAAACAAAGAAGTCATAGTAGAGTCAAGAAAATATTTAAGATGGGAAAACAACAGTAAGTCTGAATGTTTTTGTGCAGAAGGGAATAATCCAGAGAAGAGGGGAAATATGATGCATAGTGGGAAAATTTATTTGCATAAGCTAAAACGTATGGGATCTCCTGCACATATGGAGGGGCTGAATTACATTGGAGAATGGACAGCTTCATAGTATCTGCAAAAACAGCAGGGTATATAGATAGAGGTAGAGGTGTTAGAAGGAGTCGGAGAAGTTTTGTTCTGGAAATAGATGCAAATTCATCATCTGAGAATGATGACAGGGAGGAGGTGTTGGAGAGTAAAAGAGAGTAGTGTGTAGAATTATTTTCTAGGGAGACAGAGAGACTGTAAAAAAGGGGAGGTAATTAAAATATTGTTGGAAAGAATTGAGGGCTTGTTTGAGGTGAAGGTTCGTAATTTAAATTTGGATTGGTTGGCATGTTAAGTTTCATGTAGCAGTCCTGTGTGCATACAGAGGTTAAGATACAGTTTCTTTTCTTTTAATCTAAGAATGCCAAGTGTTTTCTCCAGCTACTTTAATGTATCAACAAATTCTATGAATCAGCACAAAAAGCCAGATGAGGCAGGGAGGGAAGGCCTATAAATATAAATATGCCATGATACTGCTTTGCTATAGCATATATTTCTTTTCCTCCATATTATTCTTATTGGCACCAATGTTTTCATTTCCTCGTGAAACAATTAGGAATTCCGATTTGGTAGGTAACTTTATCCAAACAGTAAAGTTGCAACAATGGCAGTGGAACACATGTTTAAAGATTGAGCTATCATGTACTATATATTATGAATAAATGTCTTTAATGGATTCCTTGTACTTTTAACAGCATGCAAATAAGTTTAGAAATATTCACATTGTTTTCTTTGTATTTAATACTTAATGTATAATTTCAAAGCAAAAACTGAGACATGCATAGATAAGAATAACTTCTTTCATGGAGAAGTAGTAACTCTTTTAGTCACTAACAAAATTAATTCTAATATAAATAATACACTCTCTACATTCAAATGTTAAAATAGTATATTCTCTTCCAGAATCCTAGAGAAATGCTGAAAAAGATTCAATACTGAGCTTATTGGAAATGGAAATGTAGTACTTATCAAATTCTGTGAATCTCCCTGTAAAAGTACACTTTATCTTTACTTAATAAACTCATCTGTGTAAGATATATAATACCTTGAGTGTAGTGTTCTTTTCAGTCCTCTCTCATCACACTCCAATGTAGCATGTTGGAATGACTTGTAATATGAATGTTTTAAATTACTAGATATTATGAGATATAACAAAGTTCCTTTTTGGAAAATTCTACATATAATGCTATCTACAGTGATGTAATATGCATAAGTGCTTCTATGATTTAAGCTAAGCAAAATTTAGGAATAATAAAGATTGTATATTCATCTAAGGGAATAATTGCCATATAGGGAGCCTCTTAATCTGAAATAGGTTGATTTCTAGACTTTAAATTGGCCCCTGATTGTGTTGTTTAATGCCAGCAAACAGTAATGCTGTAATAAAGGCTGGCTGCCAGTAAAGGGCATTTTCAAAGTCACACAGCATGAACTTTTTTTTAATCAGAATCCACTACAAGCAAAAAAAAAAAAGTGATATTTCAGTAAATCATTTATTTTAAAACCTTTAAGTAAAAAGGCAGAAAACAACTGTCGTTTGTTTGAGTATAGTCATAAAAAGCATATAGTCGCCTGCCCATGATGAGATGTAATATGCAGAAATAATAGCAACATATATATTATTAATTTGCATTTTTTAATTATCTCCTGAGGTGTACAAAGAAGCATTTGACATTCACAAACTTACAACAGGAAAAACTCCATAATTGACTAATATTAAAAGATTTATAAAAACATAACTTTTATTGCTTCCTCAAAATATTAGCTTATTTTAATATCTGAGATACATTTATCACGAATAGTTATTGCAGTTTGCATGGAAGCCTGGACGTTTTATCTTGTTCTGGGCCCTACTCAAAACTTGCAGCTTTTGGGGTCACTTTTGAAACAGCTTGCTTTATCATAACCAAATGAGGGCTATGTTGCCTCTTAAATCCTAAGAGGCCCACTAGGTGTCATGCTTCTTTTTCAGTTGCAAGAGGAGCCAACTGTAGCCACTTATTCTTCACCTTAGAAGAAATACCTCATAATGCCCTGGACCACCGGACTCAGAAATTTTACTAAGATGGAAGACCCTTGAATTTTTGAGTGGTTTACCTCCCACCTTCTGACACATAAAGAATTAGTTTATGTGAGTATAGGGGCTGGTTAGGCAAGCCCCAAATTCATAGGGCAGACCGACAGGAAGGGCATTCCAGAACTCCTGGGAATGGGCTAAAGTCCTTATTCATCAGCAAAGTTTCTTTTTCACTAAGGAAACTTCAGCTCTACTTTTAAGGTCATTTAACTGATTGAATCAGGCCAACCTAGATTATCTAGGGTAATCTCTCTTAGTAAATCCTTTACTATTTATAAGCTTCAATTACATCTACAAAATACCTTCACAACAATGCCTAGTGTTTGATTGTACAACTGAGGACTGTTGCCTAGCAAATGACAAATTCAAAGATCATCATATCCTGAATATTAGGTTCATTTAATAGGATCTTTCACTGACTTATTCCAATTAGGGAAACAATTTTGAGATGAAAATTCTCAAGGTTTTATACAGGCAGTCACTTGTTGTGGGAAGTCAGGGGCCCCAAATGGAGGGACCGGCTGGAACCACAGCAGAGGAACATAAATTGTGAAGATTTCATGGACATTTATCATTTCCCAAAATTAATACTTCTATAATTTCTTACACCTGTCTTTACTGCAATCTCCGAACATAAATTGTAAAGATTTCATGGACATTTATCACTTCCCTAATAATACTCTTATATTTTCTTATGCCTGTCTTTACTTTAATCTCTTAATCCCATTATCTTCATAAGCTGAGAATGTACGTCACCTCAGGACCACTATTGTACAAATTGATTGTAAAACGTGCGTTTGAACAATATGAAATCAGTGCACCATGCAAAAGAACAGAATAACAGCAATTTTCAGGGAACAAGGGAAGGTAACCATAAGGTCTGACTGCCTACAGGTCAGGCAGAATAGAGCCATACTTTTCTTCTTGCAGAGAATCTATAAATGGACGTGCAAGTAGGAGAGATATCGCTGAACTCTTTTCCTTGCAGGGAATACCCTGGGGAAGAAATGCATTCCTGGGGGGAGTCTATAAATGACTGCTCTGGGAGTGTCTGTCTTATGCAGTTGAGATAAGGACTGAAATATGCCCTGGTCTCCTGCAGTATTCTCAGGCTTACTAGGATTGGGAAGTTCGAGCCTGGTAAATTTTGGTGAGACCGGTTCTCTGTTTTCAAACCCTGTTTTCTCTTAAGATGTTTATCAAGACAATACGTGCACAGCAGGACATAGACCCTCATCAGCAATTCTAATTTTGCCCATGCCTTGTGATCTTTGCTTTGCCCTTTGCCTTGTGATTTTTATTGCCCTTTGAAGCATATGATGTTTGCGACTTACTCTGTGTTCTTACACCCCCTCCCCTTTTATAATCCCTAATGAAAACTTGCTGGTTTTGCAGCTCAAGGAACATCATGGACCTACCAATATGTGATATTACCCCTGGAGGCCCAGCTGTAAAATTCCTCTCTTTGTACTCTTTCTCTTTATTTCTCAGACTGGCCAACACTTAAGGAAAATAGAAAGAACCTACGTTGAAATATTGGGGGCTCGTTCCTCCAATAGTCACTTATTTGATTCTTATTATAAAAACAATTTTAAGATTTTGACCAGTAGCTTTATGTTTTAGAACATTCTAAAACTTCTGGTCTTCTTCCTCATTCAGTGATCTCATCCCATCCTCATAGACATCATAAAAAAAACAGACAAACTCACATTCAATTAGCAAATAATCAGGAAGCTTAAATTGGGTTTTATCAACTTTGCAATCAAGGAAAAGGGTTACTTCTTCCCAGTACTCTTAAGAATTATCCAATATGATTCAAGAACCATTGGTTGAGAGAATATGCTAGCTAACCACATTAAATTAAAAGATCATAATTTATATGAAAAAATAATTCTTCCCCAGCCAATTTGAATTGAGGATGTTGTGTCTGGAACCAAAATTATATATATGTCTACTATGTTTTAAGCAGGAATCTATGAAGAGCTATTTGTTTTCCTAAAAAATATGTTTATTATACTTTTGGCTACTTTGCCCACTTTATTCTACTGAGCTCTCAGGGAAATCTGTTGGTGTATGTGCATCTACATGTGTGCTGGTATTGCTCTTCTTATCCATAATTAAATGAGTTTCTCTTACAATCTGAAAATATGAGTCAACTTGGCTTTCAATGAGCATAATTCAGAGAGTCATCTCTAAGATTTGACCTTATGTCACCAGACATTCTAATTATCACTTGAGACAATCATCTATCAGGGAGACAATTGCTGATTTACTTCTATAGCATTATTTAAGGATGGGGCAATAAAAAGTTGAATTATTATCGGGAAAAACAATAATTCAGTGGTCTTTCATTCTGCTCCTTTCCAACTCCTCTGTCACTTTGGCTCTTCCTTTTTATTTCTCTCTATTGAATAATTTATCAAAACTTTTGTTAGACAAATATCATTAGGTCTATACAGATCCTTTGTTCCTTTCCCTTTATTGGGACAACATCTTTGTAGTATAACAAAGTCTTACACTAGAAGTTTCAGCTGAGGTAACAAGAAGAAAAAAGCAAAGCTTCAAAGAAGATACTGGAAAATAAGGCAGGGTGCATTGGCACATACCTGTAATCACAGCACTTTGGGAGACCAAGGAAGGTAAATCACTTAAGTTCAGGAGTTGGAAACCAACCTGGCCAACATGGTGAAACTCCATCTCTACTAAAAATACAAAATTTATCTGGGTGTGGTGGTGCACACCTATAATCCAACCTACTCGGGAGGCTGAGGCAGGAGAACTGCTTGAACCCGGGAGGCGGAGGTTGCAGTGAGCTGAGATCATGCCACTGCCCTCCAGCCTGGGCGACAGAATGAGACCCCATCTCAATAAATAAATAAATAAATAAATAAATAAATAAATAAATAAAACTCTTAGCCTCCACATCCATATTTAAGACATAAAGTGTCAGACTATGTGGAGAAAACAAAAATTAAAATCTATGTATTTCCATGATCGTACTCTGTAATTATGTCAGCTTCATATACATGTGACCACCAAATACGTACTTTATAATATAATTATAGTTCAAGCATAACGAATTACTCAGGCAACAAAGTATCTTGTACACATACACATTTCATATTAACATAAGCATACTTATACTGGATAAAATAATGAAAACTTAAATCATCTAGAAAGATTATCTGTTATGACTAAATTTATCTGATAGGTTTATGATTCACATTTTAACTTACCTTTTTCCTTTTCTTTCAGCCTAGAAATAGATGAAGAATGTTTTCAGAGACAACTGATGAAATTTCATATATCAGTGATGTGAAACTAAAAAAAAAAAAAAAAAAAAAAAAAAAAAAAAAAAAAAATCATCATTACATTTGCTGTGTGTTCTATTTTATTTAAAAAGTAGGTTTTCTTAGTCCATTCAGGTTGCTTAGCCAAGGTATCATAAACTGAGTATCTTATAAACCACAGATACTTATTTCTCACAGTTCCGGAAACTGGAAGTCTGAGATTTAGGTGCCAGTGAGGCTGTGCTCTGGTGAGGTCTTCTTTTGGGTAGCAGTGTCTACTTCTTGCCTTGTCTTCATGTGGTGGAAAGAGGGAGCTAGACAGTTTTCTGGGCTCTCTTTTATGAGATCCATAATCCCATTCCTCTAGGGTCTACCCTAACGAGTTAATTACCTCCCAAAGGCTCCACCTCCTAATATCACATTGGGGATTAGGATTTCAAACTTTAATTTTTTTGGTGGGTGGAACACAAATATCCAGTCCATAACGTGGACATTACTTGATGAAAAGCTATTACCCGTTCCCAACATTAATTATTTGTGGTAAATAAAATATTAGGTTGCTTATTTAGTTTTATTGTCTTATAATTATGTAAAGAGTGTTCTTCTGAGGGCAAGTTTATTAATATCTGTAAAGCATTTAAAAGATGAATATCACTGAACTGATTATATGTCATTAAATCAGGACTTTGTAAAAATGCAATATTAAATGCCAAAAAACAAATGTAATATATGATTTTAAAAAAGCTTTCCAAATCACTGTCTGCTCTTGAACAAAAATGATATTTGAAGTAATAAGTTTTTGACCTCTTTCTCACATAAAATTGATAATGTTAATAGCTTATGGGTATTTACAATTTCAGGTTTTCTGGTGGTTTTATAGAATAATTTTAAAGAAGATTACCATATTTCCAACTAAGATGCTATAAAATGGTCTATTCTTCAGTTTCCTAATATTTCATTTCCTAATATTCTGACTTCTTTATAGATATTTAATCAACATGCCTTGTGCATGTGTGTTATCAAACCCAAAATGATAATTCTATGTAGACCCTCTGAATGTGTGATACTAAATCAAGATATACAAAATAAGTGTATATAGGGATGTTAAAAAACGTAAAACACCGAAAACTTCAAATTCGTTAATTTATTTTATTAAATAAATTTGTTAGGTTAAGACTAGGCTAATGTTAAAATGGGAGAGAGAGAGAGAGAGAGAGAGAGAGAGAGAGAGAGAGAGGGAAAGACCCAATGAAACAAGGGTTAATGAACCAAAATAAGGTTTTGTTATTGCTGTTGTTATTTTTCAAATAATCCTGAGGTATGTATTCTAAATCCAAGAGGAGGCTTTGTTTCTCTCCGAGTATTCTATAGAACTTTAGAGTGACTATAATCAACAACAAATTTATTACATATTTTCAAATTCTAGAAGAGACAATTTTGAACACTGCCAACACAAACAAATGAAAAATGAGGGAATGAACATGTTAATTAACCTAGTTTGATCACTGTACACTTTATGTAATGAAACTCACTGTGTACTCCATAAATATGTACATTTATTATATGTGAGTTTAAAAATAAAATTAAAAAAAAAGAAGAGACTTCACTTTTTAGTTGTTCGGTTGCTTCTAATACTTTCTCCATTATCCCCAAAGGATTCTAGTTCTCTGTCCTGGGAGGATGAGACATAGTCACGAGGAGGGATTTCTCTTTAAGAAAGTAAATGTGAAATTCTCTAAAACGATTCTGTTCCAATCCATTGGCAAGAATTCAGTCACACGGTCAGAAGCAACTGTAATGAAAAATGTAAAATGTAGTCTCCAAATAGGAAGCACTATACCCATAAAATGAAGGCAACCACTCATGCTTTGAAAATTATATTGACTATCTGTTATATGCTAACCTTGGTCTTAGGTACTATATTAGGTACTGCATTATGGTGAGATATAAAGACATTTAAGAATTGGTTCCTGCCCTATCAAGGAAAGGAGGGATCAGATTTCATTCTAATCGGAAACAGGAAGAGTCATTTGTATGATATAGACATTTATTTCAAAGAAAAAGTTATGTGGAACCTGAAGTATCAAGTAAGTTTTGTGGAAAAACCATTAAAATAAGCTTTAAAAGGAAGGGTTTTTATAGTGGGAAGTAGAAATGTGAGGAGTTAAAAGATATCCTTGTTGGAGAAAAGATCAGAAATGGAATAGAAATGAGGAAATATAAGTTTTTCTTTTAAAACTTGTGTTACATAGTTTAATTTTAGAAAGGATTAGGTTGAAATTTTAGAAAGTAGAAAATATGAAGAATTAAACAATATAAAGTATTAAAAGCTTGAATACAAATTTAGGATACCCTGTGATAGGCAAAACTAACAATGAATCAAAAGAAATAATCAAAATATCACTCATAAAAATGCCTTTAAAATATATATATGAATAAATACTTAGAACAACAGACTAACACACAAAAACAGCTAAATAAAACCTGAAAGAAAAAATGTTTACAACTCAAAGTAGTACCTCAGTTAAATTTAAAAATGTTTCAATAATTTATATGTTTTGTTATTCAAATAAACCATCAGAGCAGATATCTATATTTCTCTGTGAAACTTTGTAAATCTACATGATAAAATAGCGTCATGGGTTAAATTTGTTATCTCATGATAGGGAGTAACAGCAGGGTCCTCAGGTTTTATTAGAAATACTAGCTTGCTGCTATAGTAACCCAATGTGTCTCAATTATGATCTCTTGATGAGCATGAAATTAACCCATGTCACTAAATAAAATGTCAAAAACTCACCAATGACTTAGAATTAAAAATGGAAATAGTTGCCCTCTTGTTATTTAAGTAGACAGCATGAAAACATGATTAATCATAGCTTTATGGGGAAAAATTATTTGAGAACTTCTCTGCAATTGAAATGCACCAACATGCCTCTATTCAACCTGATCATGTTCAACTGCAGTAACTGTTGACCCACGCAAAACATAAGTATTATTTTACCCTAAACCTCTTAAATTCTCTCCTAAAATGTTACGCTGCTTTAAGATGAACCTGACAGAACTGACACCCACAAAAAAAGCCCTGTATGGTAGACATGTACCAAGCATCATTGTGACATTCAGAGATATTCTAGTTTTGGCAACTGTTTGAGATTTATGGCTCTCCTTTGACATTTACAAAGACTGAGACTATTTCTGAAAAGGGCTGGAGCATTTCACTAGATATGTGGTTTCCTCAAAGGCCACTTTCAGATTAAACTATCTCTGAAATTCTGAATGGAAGTAATGTGAAATTGAACTAGAAAAGTATTTATTTTACTTCAAATAAAAAGAAAAAAATAAACAGATGATGGATTCTACCAAAAAAAAAAAAAGCGAAAAACAAAAATTCGACATATTCTTCATTGCTTTGTCTTGGTTATTGCTAAAGCTCCCAAATTCTCTTGTTCATGTTTTGTAGGATAACATTCATCACATAGAATAATTCATATGGCTCTTTGGGTATACTCAAATTAATTTTTATTGCTTTATTATCAGTTAAATTATTGCAGAAATTTGTTTTGCATTGAGATGCTGATTTAAAGTTTGAAATCTCTGAACTTCCTTGTTGGATGTATCACAGTTTGGAAGTTTATATGAGTATTGAGACTTGAAAATACAGACAAAAATCCTGAGAGGATGTATAATTTAGTGAGAGAGTAGGTTAGACTTTAGGCCACATTTTTACCTCTTTCAGCCTTGATTTTTTGATCTGTTAAAGTATGATTTTGGTAATTAATAACTACTATGCATTGAATTAGTTTCAGCAATTAGAGAACATGTAGATCTTTCAAAATACACACACAACACATATGCATGTGTATGTGTGTATAAGCTTGCACTGTAATGAAAGCTAGTGAGGTATGTATGTACTAAGATGCTAAGTTGTGTGTCTGCTGTTCTTGGGAGACTCACTGTTCTCTTTCTAGCAGAGACAGTACCTATGAATGCATGGTATTTAGCAGTGTTGCAGAGCCGGATCACATATCATTCCTGACCCCGCCATACTCAAACCCCTCTCAAGTAGATGTTACCTAGGGCTAAAGTTATTCTAGGTCCACTTGTTGATAAATTTAATCTATAGTGGTGCTTTCAAAATCAGGTGATACATTCTAATAAGTCTCTACTGGGTCAGAATATATTTGAACCAGACTACATTTGAGAGGTAAATATTTCTTCCAGTATACTGCTGTGAGTTTCTCTCCTACTCTATTAACTACTTTAATGGATAATGATGACAGGTCAAGGCTAGTTTCATCCACCCATATACCATTTGTATATATGAATTATACATCTGCATGAGATATATATTCCTCTTCTCATAGGATTTTCTCTATGTCCTTGCAAATACTCCTGCCTATAGGCATCTGTGTGCTGTCTACACTGACCATTTCTATTAGCTTTTCGATTTTAATGACTTTACAATGTTCTAAGTGGATAAACTCCTAGATGAGAACCATGAAAATAAAGTACCTAGGGCTGTTGAGTAATTGCCACATAAAAATTTGAAAAAGGTGGCAGGTTTAGTTTTCACCTCTCCGATGCAGATGCTGAAACAAACACACAAACACAAGTAGTATATTTGGGAAGAAACTCAGAAAACATCAGTAGAGGAGTGGACGAGTAAAATTAGAGGTAAGCCCCAATCAATAAAGGATGCGTTGTCAAGTACATCACCAAGGCACTGTGGGTAGCTGGAGCTTAGTCTTGCTAGTTGCTAACACAAAACACAGCACAAGATAAGAATTGTGCCACAGCTGAAGTAACAGAATTATCTCAATTCATTAACACTTGAGTATATGGAAATAGATCAGAATTCTAGAAAAATATAGATTTTATTTGTCTATCAAAATACTGAAACAGCTTCCAGAATGAAAGAACAAATTATCTTTTCTGGAGGTCAATTTAATGACTTACATAAGAAAAGCTGGAGGAAAATTCCCAGCAATATTTGTAAAACCCTGCAAAATATATTATTTGATCTAAGGAAAGAAAAATAGTTC